TAGATTTAGGGTTAATATTTGTCTAAGGGGACAAATTTAAGTTGACCTTAACTAACAAAAAGTTTTGTACCAATAGGATGTGCTCTTATGTTTTATAACTCAATGGACATAAAGCCATTCGAGAACATACGGGTTGCGACCGTAGCCGTAATATATTGGTGTTAGTTGCCAACAATCACTTGTTTAGAGGGCTATGATAATAATTGTTATTTTGTGGAGCATTTGTCTCAAACCACAGAGATAGAGGAGTTGAGACACATCGTTATTGACGTAAAATTATTTTGAGTGAATATAATGATATACTCGATATGTCATTTCCTCTTTGTGAGCTGAAGTTAATCAGGAGTTTGTCACCCTCGACAAACAGTTGCAGAGAGTGGATGAAGTTTACTTTAATTCTTTTTTAAGTGATTAATTTTACTTTAATATTTTGGTTGATTATTTTGAAAATATTGATTTTTAAAAAATGATCATTTTAGTTGAAAATGTTATAAATCTGACCATCATCATGGATTTGAACATTTACAACTTTTATACTTCATATTTTTTTTTAAATTGCCAATTTTGATATCTTTAGCATATTAGTTTTGTCAACTCCAGTCTTGAGCAGGAGGAGGATCAGTTGATTTCATTTTTGATATTTTTTTTATCACAAATATGATTGAGTTTTCTGTTATTGACAAATCAGTCATTCTCCTTAAAGAGATCCATTGAATTTTACTCTCATAAGTTGATTTATCAAAGTTTTCATGAAAATAATGAATATTATTCTTTCTTTTTATTGAAGACCTACTTGTTTCTTTACGATGGATGGAATTTTCATCATTTCTTTCAGTATCACTCCTTAAATGAGGGATGAATCTCTTCAACTTAGGTGAAAATAAAATAATTTCAGGATAAACAAGTGTTGTCTTCCGTATTCCTTTTGTTTTTATTTTCCCCTTTCATTAGGTTGTGTGTACTAAAAAATAGTTTGCACAAATCTCGAGATAATTCAACTATCGAACTAAGGAGACTATAATGCCCTTTGCTCATCTTTTTAAAAGCAAGGCTAATAATGTTATTTATATATTTTATCCTTCATATCTTCTAGGAATAAGAGGGTTATAACATGTATTAGGGACTTTTTGGCTCCCCTCTCATAACTCTACTGTTTAAAAGAAATAAAATCGATCTAAGAGTCCCAGGGATCACCTCATTCGCCCTGAACTGGCAAGTCTCCCTCTCCTCCTCTTCTTCTTTCTTTCACTCGGTCGTTAGGCTTTACCCATTGGGCATGATTGGATAGATCTAGATTCAACATCCATTTAGGTGTAGTGAGCATGAATCATGCCATCAACAAGAAGATGAGCAACACCGACGAGAAACTCTTTAGAGCAACAATCCGAGTATAAAACACTCACCAAGGGAACTGACAGAGCAGTGAAGTCGCTCCATTTATCTCTCATTGTCGGCAATCTCCAAGAAATTTTATCGATCTGTAAAAAACTAGGTGTGTGCTCTCCATTTTTCATATTTCGTCGCCTACCTCACATGTCAAACTCGATTCGTTGCGTTGGCCGCTTACCAGGCAGCTGAACTCCATATTTCACACTAGCCTCTCATCAGCCAGCTAGATTCCCTCTAGTGTGCTAGCTGTCTCAGCACTAGTCATCCGACCACATCCTCAGTCGATCGCCTCGCCTCGCCTCGCGGACCACCTGTGCTGGGATCAACCGATCGGCCACCTAATTCCGCCAAATAGCTGATGAGCCTGCTCCACTTCCCTGCCTCGTGAAAACAACGACATTCCACTGAGAAGAAAGTAGAGATTAACCCCAGCACTCCAAACACTCGTCGCTTGATTATTACAGCCTGCCAACACCTCTGGTGCTATATAGAACAAACTGCCAATAGTTTCGCAGAAACTCTACATGGTTTTGATATAATTATCAAAACCAAAATCAAGACAACGGTGTGATAACCAAATGAATGTTCTCTGACTGGAAATCTCCTTTTGACATGCTTTCACATCCATCCCTCGGACTCTACACAAGCTGTATTTTTTCGACCGACTCACTCACTTTTCTTCATGCGTGACACTCTATCGACAAACCTTCTCTCCCCATAAATCCTTAGTTTCGCAGAAACTCTACATGGTCTTGATATAATTATCAAAACCAAAATCCTCAAGCTTGATAGGAGAAGACAACGACGTGATAACCAAATGAATGTTCTCTGACTGGAAATCTCCTTTTGGCATGCTTTCACATCCATCCCTCGGACTCTACACAAGCTGTCTTTTTTCGACCGACTCACTCACTTTTCTTCATCCGTGACACTCTATCGAGAAACCTTCTCTCCCCATAAATCCTCATAGGCTGACCTGCCACACATAATCGTTCTTTTAATTTGTTTATGTACAGAAATATTTTGATAAAGAAAATGATGATGTCACATTTAAAACACTGTTTATTGTCATTCTTTCTTGGTTCTACCTACAACATGTGATGGCCGCAAAAAGCGTAGTGAAGCGTCCGACCACTTCATGCAAGTATACATGTCCATGTAGTATGCGATTTAAAAGGAGTACTACATATCGTTGCCACCGGGAAGCTTGTTAAGGAATCGATTTGAAAACATTAAAAGCTCTAGTTACTCACTATTTCAACCTATTTCGGCGAGATCAAAAAACAATTAAAGAAAATCCGAAGACTAAGAGATTCAGAAGAAAGCAAAATAGAAGAAAAAACAAATCAAAGTTCTTTGGTGTTTTTTCCAAGATTGATGAGAATTGTGCCTCTGTGATTTAGATGTGACACTTGGCTTGATTTTCATACAAATTCCTCTTTTGTGGTTGTTGTAAACCAGGGATATTGAGTTCTTCTTAAGCCTATGCCTAGATCTCAAGAAGATTTGGAATTCCACAAAGTTAGCTTCCGCTTATCTTATGACGTCCTCAATAGATTCAGATCCTCTTTAATTGGTTGCAATATCCTGAACAAAATATTTTATTTTATTTGGAACTTGTGGCTAACCTAATCGTTCCACTATGCTTCTGCCGAAGTCGTAGATCATGATAAATTTTAACGTCCTAACTGGCCAGGTTAGGAGTAAACGAAGGTCAGAAGGTTAACCAACAATTCTTATCAAATTAAAGCGCAAAAAACGATATGAGAAGTCAAAAATAAAAGTCAAACAAAGAAATCAATCCCAAAAAATCACAAAGGCACAAAAAAATGTTTAGCTATTCATTGCTCGAGAGATAAACAAAGACAATTTCATTGAAACAAAACCTGCAAGGAACATTATTATTACAATAAAAAGCACTTACAACCATTTGATCTTCTCTCTTAATAGAACCTCCTCCAAATTCTCTCACAAATTCTCTCGGAAAAATAAACAAAAGAAAACAAAGAGAAGAGAAGAAATGTCCCTTTAAATCCTAGCCTCATTTGCAATTTCCCCTCCAATAACTCCCAAAACTCTCCAATTACATTATTTTTGTAGTATGAATTCAAAATTCTTCCCAAAATCATCAGAATCTCGTAATAAAAAAATTTCCTAATAAGAAATTATACCCCAGCGTGACTACGCCCGCCATGTGGTATAATTATGTCGCCACCTCGAGTTGGGCTGCGTTGTCATGTCGCAATTCGGCATGGCTACACTGAACCCTTCACAACACGACTGTTCTTCAACATTTGGTCTTGATCACATCCGAAATTGGTGTGCTCACGCTACTAAAGTGGCATGGCCCAGCTCCAGGGGTGGGTGGCTACGCCAATCCATATTTTCCCGAAATTTCACGTTTTGCTCATATTTTCGTGCTAGTCCTCCTGTAACCTGTAAAATGCAATTACAACCTTCCAAAAGCGTCAGATCATGTGTTTAGAATAGAAAATTGCTGGAATTAAAGCATAAAAAACATGAAAATTTGATGCATATCAACATGTCAGACCTGCTGTCCTCACTTTATGCACTATCACACATAACATTCCAAATTAGATTAAGGGCCTTGCCTCCTTTCCGAGATTTATTAGGTTGTTCGCTAACATTCCAACTTTGATTAAGGGGCTTCTTTCCAAGATTTATCAGGTTGTTCACTGGTCAGGTTGCCTCACCGTCTGGCCAACCGTCTTAATCGTCTCTGTCGGTTGGCTGCCTCGCCACACCGACTATCTCTGCCGGCCATCACTCAGAATTTCTCCCCACACTAGTACTTGCCACGCGGAATTTCCCTCCGCGCCTTACATCTCTGCCGCTCGAAATATTCCTATCACGTCGGCCACTCGCCAACCACTTTAACTCACCAAACAGACCGCTTCACCTCAAGAGCTTATTTTTCACACCATGTCGCCTTACCTCTAGAGCTTCCTCACTGTTGCACCACCCTGCATCGTCATTCCGGTCGGCTCCCCCCATTTGGCTCTTCACCTTGCCACACCGCTCCGACCGCCTCACCAACCACCATGCCGCTCATTCCATCTCAGACCACCAAACGACCACACATTCAGGTGGCGACTTCGTCACCAAACGACCGTCCAGTTGATCGACAACTCCTCCCAAAATCGGCCGCCCTGCCTGCTCCCGGTCGGCCACTTTCTTCAACACGCCCATTTTT